GGTTGTCTCCCTTAGCTACAGGTGGGCACTACAGTATTGCAGACCAAGATTTGAAGTCTTACATCTGAGCAGCACTTTATGATTAGGAACAAAATCATCAGTGAGAAATAATTGTCTAAATAACATTTTATATGGACTTAAGGCTAATGTCTGGGAAGTATAATCCCTTGAAGTTTTGAAGACATATACTGATTACTTTAATCTTTGGTTATCCTTTCCTTTTGGGTGTTTAAGACCATACAGTTGGCTCAAATAAATTTAGTTTTACACTTAAGGGCATATGAGGATCTGTTCCTCAGGGGTCACATGGGCTTGGGAGGAGACCCTGGCTCCTTTTACCAGTTCCATCTATGTGAAGATCAGTCAAAGGTCCTGTTTGACCATGTCTGGTACGGAAGAAATATTTCCTCTGAGTTGACCCTCCTCTTTGTAGACTGGACACTGGTTCAAGTCCATCTGGTGGGGTCTCCATGGCCTCCCAAACAAGAGGACAGGTGACTCACCACAGTACAGGACATTTAGAAAGATGTTCCATAATCCCCTGGAACTTAGTCCTTGTTGGAGGGCAAGGAGCAAAAAACTGTCCTTTAAGTCCCTCTGACTAGATTAGTGTAGCCTCAAAGTATGGCTGTTAAATATCCAAGAAGGTTAGTTCCACCAGTCTGGTACTTTTAATTACCATGTGCTATGTAGATAAAGCTTGGGCAAAAACCAAACATTCTCAGATAAACCTTGATTAGACATATATTTTGTTCCTTAACTAGTTGACAAAACTATGACCTTAGAAATTTTAAGATTATGTGTGTATTATTTTTGTCTCATCCTTTATATCCTAGATTAAATTTTTAATTAAATCTTTCATTTAGACTTTAGCTCCTATATACTTTTACCAACATCCATTGCTAAAGACATTTTGTTAATTTAGTATGCTTAAGTAATGTCTTTTGCCACTTAAAGCTGAGAAATAAGAGGGTGCTAGATTTCAGGATCTGAAGTAATTCATCATGGGTGCACTGTAAGAGGAAAGTGAGGCTGAAGAAGATGGCCAAGAACCCTATAAGCTGTAAGGCTGTGGGGAGCCACTGAAGGGCTGATACACTCATTTGCATTTCAGAAGTGTGTTGTGACAGCTAAGAGACTGTGTTGGAGGCCATTGCAGTGATCCTGGGGGCGGAACAATGGGGATGCATTGGGGACAGAAGGAAGTGGAGTCATTCAAGAGCTAGAAGGCAGAATTGATGGTTAGATATGGGATTAGGAAAAGGAGAAGGGGCGTCAAATATTAGTTGGGAGAGAGGCTGGGGGTGCAGAGTGGTACTGAGTAGATGGTGCTGTTCACTGGGAATGGAACACATTTGGAGAAAGGTCTGGGTAGTAGGTGATGTCTCTGTGTGTGCACACATGGGCTTGAGTTTTATGAGACAAATCTCAAATATAATGAGAGCAATCATTGTGTTGAGTATGTTGAATCAGGAGAGAAAGGGGTCTAGGACAGAAAGTTGGAAAATACACATTTCATCAGGTGAAAGGTCCGGAAGCAGATGAAGAAGGCGGAAGTTGTGGAGGGAAGCTGTAGAAACTAGGAAAGCGTGTTCAAAGCGGTTGATGGGTTGTGCTGCCTGGAGTTCACACTGACAGATCTGTTGTCTACCCATTGGAAAGCACTACAGCCAATGAAATAATGCACAGTGCTTAAGACAGAGAGAACAGAGAAAGGGGAGAAGCTGGCATGCAGCGCACACATCATATTGAAGGCTTACCAGAATTTACTTTCTTCATTCTGGCTCTGCACAGGCAAGGCAGCAACTTACTCTGCTGTATTTTAACCTTTTGAATCCTCAGATTGTGCAGTTGCCCCTACCCCAGTATTTCTTTCTTTCCCTCTTTCTTTTCTTCTCTTTAAAAAAACAACAACACAGGGTCTCACTTTGCAGCCCTGGCTGTCCTGAAACTTGCTATGTAGATCAGGCTGGCCTGGAACTCACAGAGACCCGCCTGCCTCTGCCTCCTGACTGCTGGGATTAAAGGCGTGCTCCCAGCATTTCTTCCTTGTATGCTACCAACCTGCTATCACCATCCATGCTTGAAGGAGTAATAGAAGTTGAACTAAACCATGTATTTAATTAATTATTAACTAATTTATTTATTGAGACAAATTTCCCCTGTAACCCTAGCTGGCCTGAATCTTGCTATGTAGATCAGGCTGACTTAAATCTCACAGACACCCTCCTGCCTCTGCCTCCTGAGAGGTGAGTTTCAAGGTGTGCATCACCACGCCCAGCTGGATGAGTTCTAGTGGTAGTCCATTTATTTGAAAAAGTTGGTATATGTCATATACTCAAGATAGGGTTAATTATTAGGAGCCTGAACTATACTTAAGACTGAAGTTACATAAGAATTAAATAGTACAGCATTACTCAAGAATAAGAACAATATAAGCAAGTGCTTCGGGAATTTAGGGAGAGGAGTATATAACGTGGAGGAGAAAGCAGCTTGGGGGCTAAATTGGGCTGGGACTGAAGGCTGAAGGATGCCTAGTGTTTAAATACATAGAGAAGAGGAACGGGGTGCTGTAAGTGGGAAAAACATGAGTCAGGATTTGCATCTTGGTGTATTTGAGAAACTACCAGAATGCTGAACTTATTTCACAAGTGTAGAACTTAGCATCACAGCATACTAACAACGAACCTAGACCATCAGGCTGGGACATTTGGCTTTTCATCCTTCAAGCCTGATGAGTATGGGAAGTGGAGCTGTTGTTAATGCTATGTTGTAGCGCACTTACTCTACCAGCTGTGTGGAGGGAAGAGAATAGGTATCTGGAAGATCAATGTAAAAGGATACTCGAGAATTTTGACGAAAGTACTGTCATAATAGGAGTTCTTCACTGATGCCTTTTTGTATTGGTGTTTGGAATTATTCCTACTCCCTTGGACAATAGCTAGGGATTGTTCATCAAGTAGTTCTGTTCATGAGAAACACAATTCTCTTTCTGTCTGTTGTATAACCCTCTTTCTAGAGAAAAGCCCAGTAATGGTTCTGACTTCTCCATTGAAATCTATTTTCACTGCCCCTCCACTGCTGGGACTTAAGGACAGCCCATATCTAGGTTTTGAAGAGTTTATGTGTCTTTTCATCGTATAGGGAATGGTTTAATACACATGTCCAGTGCATGCAATAATATTTATTGTAAATTGTCACAATAGCATGTGATAAACAACCTTAGACCTAGGTGTATTTGACCCTGGCAAACTGTAGGATACTGAAAACATGGCATTCCCAATTCCAAGTCTGTGATATCCCCTGATTATGGTGATATCCCAGTGAACCAGAAAGCTGGCTTGACCTGCTGTCAGGGTAGTCAAATATTGCAGTGTGCATTCTTCTATAGGAGAGAGAGAGAGAGAAAGAGAGAGAGAGAGAGAGAGAGAGAGAGAGAGAGAGAATGATGAATGAAGAATTTCATTTTTGGCAGGTTGAGTTTCAAGAAGTATTGGAATAGTCAGTCACACGATTTCAATGGTTTATGTGCTTAACATGTTTAATGATAATGAGTTGAATAAAAATGTGAAGTTGGAGCATTGTTGGGCTGAAAATGGTGACAAAAAAAATGTAGTTAGGATAGAATGACAGTTGAAGCCAGAGAAAAGAAACTTTAGAGAAAGAAGCAGGCAGGCTTCAAAAAAGAAGAGGAGGAACTCAGGCTGCCCCTGGAAGGGGCGTGGCTGGCCAGACATGGGTCCTACAAACCAAGACTGGAGTCAGGAAAGCTACACGGGGATGGACAGAATGGTCAGTAGTGATGACGTTTAAACCAGTTGGCACTGTTGGCATCTGCAAACAGGAGATTCCTTGTGTTTTAACTTTCTTTCTATTTTACAGAAGAGCCGTGAAGATAGTGCAGGTTTAAGAAGAGTAGGAACTCTTTAAACAAATAAGCTAAAATGGATTTACTATCTTTTTTGAAGTTACTTAAATGTTAAATTTTGATTTTACTCTAAGTGTTCAAATTAGACACAATATATGATCCTTTCATGTATGTCCTTAGGTGTAATAAGTATTCTCAGCAATATAATAGTTTTGGGCATCTTCATTAAGAACAAGGAACTTCAGACACCCATGAATACAGTGATCGTTAACCTGACCCTGACTGATATAGGGGTCAGTAGCATTGGTTATCCCATGTCTGCTACCTCAGACCTGCATGGAAGTTGGGAATTTGGATGTGCAGGCTGCCAGGTATGGGGATGGGGGTGTCTTTGGAATAAAAACAAAATGTAGCAGATCAGACAGATACAAATTTAAGTATCTGGGGCTGGGTAGGTGGGCCAGTGAGTAAAGTGCTAGTCATGTAGGCATGACAACCTGAGTTGGGATCCCCATGTGAAAGCTGACTGTGGCTGCACACACCTACACACCAGCTCTGGGGAGGCAGAGAAAGGCCAATCACTATGGATCCCATGGGCTTGCAGGAAACAGTGAGCTCCAGGGTCACTGAGACCTTATCTCAAAAATAAAGGAGAGGGCAATGGAGGAAGACACCCATGTCAAACCCTGTCACATAGAAGCCACATGCAACTGCACACATGTGCATGCACATACAACACACACAGATCATACACCCCCTCACATACACAAACACAGAAATTAAATACTCCCGGAACTTAAAACAAGATATTGTAGGGTAATAGATACATTGCTTTAATGGGAAGAGGTTAAGCAATGACTAAGCATACTTTCTTAAGAAGACATGTAAGATCACTACTCACCATTATATTTTTAATTCCCCCAACTCAAAGGAAAAAAGATTCGAACAACTGGCATTTAACTACACAAAAGTAATTGGTATATTCAAATAAAAAAATTCATTTTGGAAAAATTTGAATTAATGCCATCCTTAATTTTAAAAAAAGTGGGAATCATAATCCCTAAGGAATGTAATTATACTCTCACATTGGGTGTTTTGATATAGAAGTCCTTCATGGGGGCTGGAAAGATGGCTCAGCAGTTAAGAGCACTGGCTGCCCTTGCAGAGGATCCAGGTTTGGTTCCTAGGCTAACAACTAGCTGTAAGTCCAGTTTCAGGGGATCCGATGCCCTCTTCTGGCCTCTGTAGGCATTGCATGACATAGGTGCACTTACATGGAGGAAAAACACTCACACATAAAATAAAAAGTAAATAAAATATTTAAAAAGAAGGTCCTTCATGACTGTCGTTAATAACTATGCTTACTGTGTTTTTGTTGTTTTCTTACTGTTATTTCTACTGACCAGGAAATGGATTGGTATAACTTTGCTTTGGGGTAGTAGGCAAATACATCTTTGGCCATATTTTAGTGATCTATTATTATAAGCTGTAAAATAATAGAGAATGAAATGAGAGTAGTGGAGAATGCTAGATGCCCTTGCACACGCTGATCAGTTTTGTCAGATCTTACTGCTTTTAACTCTAGTCCTCTGGCTGCTTTTTTTCTTAAAGATATAAAACTTCAGAGATAACGTTGAAAGTCATTGTATGCCACACCTGGTTTTATTCTTTTCCCGCCTGTGAGTGCTTTTCTTATTACATATTTTTGTGAACACGAACCAGATATGATCAAACACTTTAAAATTCTGTGTACATGACATCATTTGGCCAGTTATGAATCTCTGCTGACCACTGCGGAGAGAAGCTTCTCTGGTTAAGGCTGAGGGCAGTGCTAATCTATGGGTATATGCATAAATATTTAGAAGGCAGTTTGGCAACATGTCCATTTAGCAAGAGAGCAGCAGTAGGTTCCTCCCTAGGGCCTATGACCCACTGAGCCATGGGATTTGAGCAGGTCTACAGTACCAGGCATGAATTCCCTCCTGTGGAGCAGACCTCAAATCCAATCAGAAAGTGATTGATTTACCCTCACAGCCTTCATGCCTCTGTTGCACTATAAAAAGCATTTAATGAATTTGAAAACTATTTTAGCAATGTGGCAAAAATTTAAATGATTTGGGCTGGCAAGATGGCTCAACGAGTAAAAATGTTTGCTGTGTAAGCTTGACAACCAGAGTTTGATCCCCAGAACCCACAGTGTTAGGAAAGAATTGACTCCCAGAAGTTGTCCTCTGACCTCCACATGTGTGCCATAGCATGCAGATACACACACATACACACACACACACACACACACACACACACACAAACACATACACTCACATCATACACACACAATAAAACAGTTAAATGTGTCTTGGGAGGTGTTTGGACTCGTAGCCTATTTCCAACCTTGATTTTCAGATTTATGCTGGATTGAACATCTTTTTTGGAATGGTGAGCACTGGCTTACTCACAGTTGTGGCTATGGACCAATACTTGACCATCTGCTGTCCTGATGTAGGTAATGGCAAGTTTCTCACCTTTTTCAGTGAAACTATTTATTACCTGCTAGGGGTTCACTTTAAGATACAAACATAATGGTTTGTGACTCAGGCTTAGTCTTACCTGTCTGGACATCCTTGTTCAAATGGCTTCTTACTGTACTTGGACTACAGTCCAGATGTCAGAAGGCAGCCTCTGAGGCCCTGCAGGACTGGCCGTTCCAGCTTGGTCCAGGGTCATGCTCACATTCAGGTCCTGGCCAGGCCCTTTGCCTCTGGGAACTTTGTATGTGCTGTCTTCCTTGGCTTGCAAAGCTTTTCTCCCTGCGTATACTCAGCCTATTCCTTTTATCATTTTACGGCACTTTAGATCGTCATTTCTGTCGAATGGTGAAACCACATAGATAGGCTTAGTGGGAACTGATGTCCTCTGTAAAGAATGCATTTGATAATTCTTGAATCATTGATGGAAACAAAGTGAGTCCTAGCATTGTGAGTGGTACTAATACTTCATGTGCTTGATAACAGGAAGAAGAATGACCACCAGCACTTACATTGGCATGATCCTAGGGGCCTGGATCAATGGCCTGCTTTGGGCTTTGATGCCCATCATAGGGTGGGCCGGCTATGCCCCAGATCCCACTGGGGCTACCTGTACAATAAACTGGAGGAAAAACGACACGTAAGAGATGTGCTTACACTTTATTATCAAAAGCTCCTCACCCTTCAGCTGAATCACATTCCTTGAACAGAGTGTGGCTCGTGGTAGCTATGTGCTGCACAAACAGGAGACAAAGAAGACTGAACTGTGCTTGCTTGAAAGTCAAGGTCATCTGTGTCCCTTCTGCCTTCCTCTGCCTCTGCGAGGCAGCAATGGGGGTGCTCTTCCACTGTGCACATTTCAGAGTTCGGATCATAAGTAGAAAGAGGGTTAGTGAAGCTAGAGAGCAGGGAGTTTTAATCCAGTCCTAGGCTACCTCCGTACTATCTTTTCCAGATGGTCTAGCTCAAGCCTCTTCCGAGAGTGACTGCAAGGATTTGTCCTGCATTGGTGAGGCTCCTCTAGGTTTTCCAAGGAAATGAGGTAATTAAGTTCACTAGAGGATCAGAGGTGACTCTAAAACAAACAAAAGAATTTCCAAATCAAAAAGTAAATAATAGACCTGATGTCTCTATTGCAATTGTTCAGCTCTGCCATCATACTGCTAAAACAGTCACCAACAGTACTTAAGTGAATATATATGGCTGTGTGCCAATAAAACTTTATTTGCAAAGGTAGCTGGCTGGCAGGAACTAGCCCACAAGCCAGTTTACTGGCCTAAGTGAACTCTGAAGCATAAGTCAAATATACTTAAACTTTTTAACAATAAAATGACTGTCAGTACTATTTCTAACAATTATTTTCTCGTTCCTTTCCCCCATTTAGTATATTAGATAAGTCGTCATGGCTGTCATTGTTTTTTCCAGACCTTTTGTGTCTTACACCATGGCAGTTATTGTGATGAATTTTGTTGTGCCCTTGACAGTGATATCTTACTGTTATTTCCATGTCATGCGATCCATGTGACTTTGTGCTAGTACTGACCGCACTGCATATCTCAACAGACTGGGTGGAACGGGTCAATATAACCAAGGTAAGAAGTCAAAATCCTCAAAGAGCTCTTGCTAATCAAGCTTTTGTGTTTACGCAGCTGAAAGAACCCCACGGCCTGCCCTGGTCTCCATCCACCAAACCAGTCCTAGTTTCCACTCTGCCTTTTCTGCTGGGGCTCATTTCCATCCTTCCAAATGACATGCTTTTTCCATGGATATTTTTGTGTGTTACCACCAGGCTTCCTACAGACGATGAGGATTTCTCTCAAGCCACCCACCTGCCCTTCCCCTCCTCTCCTCCACCTTCTCCTCTTCCCATCCTGCCGTACAGTGACCATCTTTGGTTAGATTTAAGGCTTCCGTCTCTCCTTTCGGTAGGTTCAGACACCGCAGACACAGGCTCAGGCTGTCCTCTCCTTGGAGCTAATCCTCCCTGTCCCCTTCAGTGTCTTGATCTCCCGTGGGTTCTCTAAGCAGCAGCTCTCCCTTCATCACCTGTCTTCAAGGTTACATGCCCTGTTTTCTGAATTCTTTTTCTTCTTGAGTCTGATTTGGTGGAACATGCTCTCCAACTGATTCCTGATGTTGGAGGAGATGTTAAAATTTGAAGAATTTGCATAGCTAAAAACATGTTAATTCTGCTGCTATTACGGAGTTCGGGACCACCAGGAAAGACTCAAAAAGTTCCAAATCAGCTGAATTAAGTGTTTAGCGTTTTATTAGAATTTTAAAGAAAAAGAAATCCTCAGGGCAGGCAAGCTGGTCATCTTGGCAGCTGCTTTGAGGAGGTGAATGGTGGGAAGAAGGAAAGAAAGCCATGAAGCCATGCAGGGTTTGAGCCTGCATGGAGGTCAGACACGTGGCCGCCTAGCAGCCACATGGCTGGGAGGAGGAAGCTTTAGAGAAGGAAAGAAAGACAAGATGCTAGGGCAGCCGTTCAGAAAGCATGTGTAGTAAGAAAGGCATGAAGAAGAAAAGGAGAAACTACGCCTTTCAGAAAGGCGGACAGACGTACAGAGACCCACATGACAGTGGTTCCTCCGAAGTTCTGTGCTAGCAGGCAGGATTCCAGGCAGGAAAAGCTCCCTATCTCATTAACGCACAAGGTATTCTGTCCATCTGTTTAGCATGAGCCACTTTCCTAGGGTGGTCCTATGACCAGATGGTTGACCAGTTAAACTTACACAAAATGGAGGTGCTCGGGCTATTACACTGCTATATTTGAGTGATTGCCTAGTTCAGAATTCTAGGTACAGACAATACTCATGTAAGAAATTCTTTTGAAAAATTTAAAAATAAACACATGAAAGTAAAATAAAAGAGTTCTATCTGAAAAATAACTAAGAACTTGGAAGGTGTTCCTCTACAGCCTCCTGGCTACCAGCTTGCTATGCAAAGGTGCCTGGTGTGCTGGTGGCTGGGTCTCTCTCGTGAGCTGTGGAGTTATCTCTGGAAGTTTAGGATTTTCTCCACATTTCAAGTTTCTAATTCCACACTGACATGTCGTGGTGTGGCTGTTTATTCTTCAGTGCTGAGTGTCTCCTGTAAGTCTTGTATTCTTTCTCTAGTGATTTCTTCTTCCTCTGTTTTCTTCTCTGGAATTTCTGCATTTTATTTTCTGAAACAATAGTTACCATAAAAGTACTTAGGTCTAAGTTGAGGGTAGGAATAATGAAGCCCAAATCTTGAGTACTTAATTTAAATAAGCAAAGCAAAGCAAAACCACCCACATATTCCTCAGGATATACATACACAAAAAAGCAACTCAGATACAGTAATTTACAAGTCAAAATTAGTGTAAAGAACTATGTTGAGCAAAGTTTCAAAAGTCTTAAGACAGCTGGCCTGGTGGTGCTTGCCTTTAATCCCAGCACTTGGAGGCAGAGGCAGGTGGATCTCTGTGAGTTTGAGGCCAGCCTGGTCTACAAAGTGAGTTCCAGGACAGCTGGGGCTACAGGGAGACCCTGTCTCAAAAAAACCAAAAAAAAAAAAAAGACAAGATCTGACCCTTTACTTACAGAACTCACTTCCCTGACCTTCCCTAACCCCAGCCTAATAATAGCATTCAACTTTTCTTGTGCATTTCAAACATTTATTTATCTTTAATAGATGGGTTAAAACCAGTTTGAACAGATAAGAAAAGTTAATTTATACACTATCCTCCTGTGTGTGCTCGTGCATATGTGTGGGTATATGCATGCATGCGTGTGTGTGTGTGTGTGAGAGAGAGAGTATGCGTGTGCATGCCCCTGCATACATACACACTCAAGCGGAGGCCAGAATCTGCCTCAGGTGTTGTCTGTACTATAGATCTCCACCTCAGGTTTTGAGACCCGGTCTCTCACTTGGAGCTTGCTCTTTTGTTAGACTGACTAGCCAGCAAGGCCTGAGTCCACCTGTTTCCACCCCTCAGCTCCCTTCCCCTCAACATATCTAACCAACTTTTGGGTACAGGCATTCCTTGCCACACCCAGCTTTATGTAGGTGCTGGGGATCCGAACTCAGGTCCTCATTTCCACAGCAGCTCTTGCCTACTGCCCCAGCTTAGTCTCTTTGTTTTATGGATGTAGATCCGGTCTTACTTCTGTGATGATATGAATATATTTACATTTGCTTTCCGCGCACTACGTATTTTTGTGGTGTACAAGTCCCTTCACTATTTCTTGCTGTCTGTCACTGTGAGGGTTTCCTCACTACCTTGTAGTCAATAGAGCCCCTTTATATTTAAGAGTGATCCTCTAAAAAAGAAACTAATTGTAATCTTGCAGATGCGCAACAGCTGGGTCGTGTCTTTAGAGGATTCCTGACTATCTTTAAGGTGTTTTGTTCTGGGAAGGTCCGTTTCCAGGGAGATGGTTCTTTTCAGGCTCCAGGGCTTCAGTCTGTATCGTTAAGTTCAGTGCTGAGAGGGACCGATTGCCCTCTTCAGCATAGTAGGGCAGCACTCAGCATGAGCCTGAGTGTCCTGAATCTGCCTCAGTTTTTTTCATAAAGGACTCTGGGATTCTCAGGAAGGGAAAGGCAGTAACTGAGTGAACTTGAGGGATTCAAAAGCATAATTGTTTTCTTTCTTTTCTTTTTTTCAAATTTTAACCAGTTCTCCTGTTTGGGGTCCCATGTTCCCCTGTATTCAGAACTGTCTGGTAACTTCAGTTCCTGGACTTTGGTAGTTCTGTAGAATGGATTAGTCTTTGTCTGGTTTTCCCTTACTGATGGCTCTTTCACAACATGTTTATTTTTTTGAAATCATTCACATGTCTGATAAGCATTTTGATACTTGTCCAATTGGTTATTGTTTCCACTTACATGACACTATTACTGTCTAATCTTGGATTCTGTCTTCATGAGGTGTTGTCTTTTTAATCTCTTTCTGTTATTGTGGTGGGCAGTGAAGAAGGAATGATGGGCAAGTGAGATTGCTTAGTGAGTATAGGCACTCCCTGATGACCTGAGTCCAATCCCTGGAATTCACATGGTGGAAGGAGAGAGCCAGCTCCTGCAAGTTGTCCTCTGACCTCCACACACATGCCCCACCTCTGAAGTTAGAATTCAGGATGAGAAGCAGACGTGAGAATAAAAAAGTAGGAATCCAATCCGACCTCAGCAGATGCAGATAGTTTTATTAGCTATGAAGGGCAAGTAACCTTCTCTTGGGAATGCAGGCTGTGCATGGGGGTTGTGAGAAGCCTGTAATTCATAGGTGGGCTCAGAAAATCCCAGAAAGCAGGTCATGTCTTCTTGGCGGTTTCATGCTCTTTCCTGGGATCTGGGAAGGAGAGATGAGGAGTTCTGACAGGGGAACCAGGTATCTTCCGCAAGGAGGTTGTAGGTAAGGAACCAGCTGTCTTCTGCTGGGTGTTGGTAAGGAACCAGATGTCTAGGCTAGAGGCTGTGTTCTGAGGTAGATGTATCTCCCTCCTGGAGTGGAGAGGCAGGGTGGGTGGATGGTCAGTTCGTTCAGGCATTTGTCAGGTTAATTTTCCTTCCCCCAGTAATAAATAAAAATTTTTTTAATGTAATTAAGAAGGAACGTGTAAAAACTGTATTGCTCCCACTTAAACAAGATCCAAAAGGGGCTCCTTTACACATGAACTGTACTGTATAGAAAATATATTCAGCTAAATAATTTTAGAATTCACTGAGTTTAAGATAGACAGATAGATGGACAGAGAGAAGGAATTCATCACATATACCTAGAAGTGGGTTGGAGAACGTTTTCATCCAGAAGAAAGGGCAGTCGTAACACATGTGTAACATTCTTAAAAGCAATGCCATGCATTGTTCAACATACCATGTGCCAGGCTCTTGTTATCATAGGCGGCTTCAGGTATAGACAAAGAGAAGTGAGGGCAGAACCCTGGCTACTTCTTTTACATCAGCAACAACATAAACTTCAAATTCTAACCTAGCTATATTCTCATACTATTTTGGATACATTAAACTTGGCAATGACTTCTTTTGCAGATGTCTGTGATAATGATACCGATGTTTCTGCTGGCATGGTCCCCTTATTCCATTGTGTGCTTATGGGCTTGTTTTGGAGACCCCCAAAAGATTCCTCTCTCAGTGGCTATTATAGGTCCACTCTTTGCAAAATCCTCTACATTCTACAACCCCTATATTTATGTGGTTGCTAATAAAAAGTAAGTAATACTTAGCATGCTTCTGAATAAAATGAAGAGATAGAAAAAAAGTTAAGGGCAGTGAATCGTGTTCTAAGACCTTTCTGAAGGTGACAGAAACCTATCACAACCTAGCACAAGGCTCAGGCATCTAGAGCAACCAGGACTTATATGATGACTACATGGCAGAAAAGTTTTCTGGTTGGTCATTGAATAAGTTGGTTCAAGGGTTTCCCCACACTGAGTACATGCTTTCCAAAGAGCAGAGTAGACAAGGCAACAACGAGTTCCCTTACTTGGCAGTACAGTGGCATACTTACCAGCCAAGTTTATAACATTTAAATTCAAAAGAAAAAAAAAAACCCATTGCTAACATAATGAACTTTAGGAGTATGCAGTCAGTCAGAATAACGGAGATGCTTCCCTCCCTTTGTGGGACTCCTAGATGAATTTCAGATTATTTCATTACTCTTGGAAGATGAACCAATTGGTTTTGCTACATCTTGGCAAAGGTCAGGTGATTTGATCTTGGAATATCACTGCTGCTTCTACTAAACGTGTACATTTACATTTATGCACATGTTTGGGAGGGAAGCTTTAGCTGCATGTAGGAACACAAAAACTTCAAGACCAAGAGTCCAACACAAGTGAAAAATACATTGTGAGGTGAGAATCTGTGGGAAGTTCTTTTGGAAAGGTCAGTCATTCTCCATCCCCCTCAGATCCAACTGGCCTTTGCTCAGAAGATCAGATGAGAAGATCAGAACTCCAGATGTCTAGGCTGCATTCTGAGTTCAAAGAAATAACAGCACACATGGCAGTTCAAGTGTCACTTTAAACATGCATAACTGTTGATTTTATTAAATGTCCTCAGCATTTGTAATCAGCAGTGCAAACTGGTCACTAACTACCATTTATCTCACGTACTTAGTAGGAGATGCTAAAGTTGGGGGCAGAAATCTACTCAGAGGTGTCTTTTGACAGTAGTGGCTCCTTAAACATAGTTGAAAATGCCTTGAGTGTCATACTGTTACAAAGTAATAATGGTATATTTTCTCTTTGTAATTGTCGGTTTTGGAAGGCGATGTTCGCCATGTTTAAATGTCAGACTCACCAAGAGATCTCCGTGGCAGGCGCTCTACCAGTGGATATGCCTCAAAGCCTATTGACTTGTGGATGAATATGAAAATAGAGAAAAGATTATACCATCAAAACATTTGAGTTCTGTTTTTTTGCAATAATTTAATTCTACTCTAAATATGAGTCATTTAGATGAAATGCAGACATAGATTGCTGGCTGTTGACTGTGGGTTCCTGGAGCACAGCTTGTCTGGCAGCTACTGCTGTGCTCATGTCTTCATGGGTAACGTTGCTTATCTCCTTTGATGAATTCAAGCATATGGAATTAAGGTTCCTCTTCCTTCTCCTTAGGAGGCATGCATGACTCTGTGTTGATGACCTGTAACTTTCCTGAATCTTCCATCAGACAAGAAACAGTCACTAGAATATTAGAATATTTTAATAAATTATGATAAAAATTAATAAAAATTTATAATACTCAATAATTAAGTGCTGAACTGAATTGTTGGATGCTCCCAGCTAAGAAAAGAAAATCTATTCATGTTTCAAAAAGGTTAAATTTAGAATCAATTGTGTGGTGACTATTAAACACAATATATAATTATTTAAATAGTAGACAACTACATTGTTTCAAATCTTACTTTTTTCCTGGGGTAAGAGTTTACTGTGTAGCCCAGGTTAGACTTAAAATCACCATATAGACCAGGTTGGCCTCAAACTTGCAATGGTCAACCTTCTAAGTGCTGGGATTACAAATGCCTGGCTCAGGTTTTTACTTTCATGGATGCACAGTTGGGAACACTTTCGCACAAACATCCTTTTTGGATAGGTATCAGCTTATTCTATTTGAACCTTTCTCAAGGCCAAGATTATTAGATATAAATGTGAAATAGTATTATCGTAGCTAGCTTTCTCCCTGGGATGAATTTGTGCTACGTTGGCAGTATATAAATATACTTTTCACTTTTGAAAACTACTGCAACAATTAATTTTATTTCACATCTCTTATTTATTATTTTTTATGTGTATGAGTGTATGGCCTGCATGTGTGTTAGTGTACCTGTATCATGCAATGCCTATGGAGGACAAAAGAGGGCGTCAGATTCCCCGGAACTGGAGTTATGGATGGTTGTTAGCCGCCATGTGGGTGCTGGGATTTGAACCCAGGTTCTCTGCAAGAGCAGCCAGTATTCTTAACTGCTGAGCCATCTCTCTAGCCCCTAATTTACATCCCTTTAAGAGCTAGTAAGGCTGTGTGTCTTTAGTTCCTTGTCTCTATCCTTTTGTGGGGAAGTGTCCTTTTAGGCCTTTGTCACATGTTAAAATTTGGCTGTTAGTTTTATTCAGACAATTCTCCATGTGTATAGAATGGAAGTTGTTACAGCAGCCTCTTACCTTAGCTTCATACCCTCTGTCTTTTTTCACTGCAGTCAACACATTAGCTTTATAATCAATTACTTTATTTTTTTAATTTCTTTTATTTTTGAGTCAGGGTCTCCCTGTAGCCCCAGCTGGCCTGGAACTTGCTATGTAGACCAGGCTGGCCTCCATCTCACAAAAATCCTCCTGCCTCTGCTTCCTAAGCACTGAGATTAAAGGTGTGAGCCACCATGCCCGGATATAACCAATCTTTTTTCTCCAGTGGCCAAAACGCATACCAACTGTTCTGGGGAGCTATGAACGCTGTGCTCCACTAGCTTGGGGCTCATTCTGTCCCTGTAGCTAAGCTGCTTTTAGAGACTACACGGTGAGGCTCTGTGCGTACAGTCAGAAGATTCTCCCGCCTGTGTTTACTGAAACTGTATTATTCACATCCTTGCCAGCCCAGCTCGGGTGCAGCTCACTAGAACTCCGACCACTGATACCCACCCGAAGCCTCCACCTGGCCCTTTTCCTCCACACAGCTGCCAGAAAATCCTGTGTAATATATTGATCTGACGAGCTCCTCACAGCCTAACCTTTATGCTTTCACGCCTGGAGGCCGAGCTCTTTAATAGGGCATCTAAGGCTGTCCTTTGAAACCCACCCTTGCTTTTCCAGCGCCATCTTTGCTTTTCGGCCTCAGAATCTTTGTGAGTGTTTGTACTTCTCCGTGGTTCTGGGCCCTGTGCTCACAGCCGTACAGTTTCCTGCTCCTCTCCCTGTGCTTACTCAGCGGCTCAGGTACCGCCCAGAGGAAGAGGAAGCTTTCCCTTAGGCCGAACAAGATGTTCTCTGGTGCTTCCTCGCTGTGCGTGTCTCTTTATCCTGCGGGTTCCTGTGTAGTGACCAAGGATGACTCATCCTAGTCACCGATTGGCAAGTACTCAGTAAATATTTGGTAACGAATGGCGTAGTAGACTCTTGAAAGGCTACAGTACATCTTTTTTCTTTTAATTGAGCAAAGTTTTTCAGATTGTGTTGTTTACATATGAAGTCCATTAGTTTATGATGACATTTCCTGTAATATTCTTTTTTTTTGGTCTTTTTGAGACAGGGTCTCCCTGTAGCCCCAGCTGTCCTGGAACTATGTAGACCAGGCTGGCCTTGAACTCACAGAGATCCGCCTGCCTCTGCCTCCCAAGTGCTGGGATTAATGGTGCCACCATGCCCAGCATGTTCTTATTTTTTAAGAATTAATTTTCTTCTTCCAAGATTTTGGTTTAAAGTTGATGGATAGAATCTCATAATATGAAGAGCCAATCTTTTACAATTTTATTTTTTGCTAAGCATTAGTATAAATCAGTTGTTCTTTTATGATTCTTTTTTTAGACAGTGTCTCATGTATCTTAGACTAGGGTCCAACCTGCTGTGTTCAGTGGATGATTCTGAATTTGTGATCGTCCTGCCTTCACCTCTCAGATTCCAAGATCATAGGCATGCACCACCATGTGGTGCTAGAGATGGAACCCAGGGTTTTATGCATACTAGGCAATCACGCTTCCAACTGAGCTGCAACCCTGGTCCTCAACTCATCTTTAAAAATGATTTTGATACCCCAAACTTGGGATAGTAGTTTCAAACAAAATATAGTTTTAAGTAGAGATAAATGTCTTCATTAGATCTAGAAGAAACTCAGGCACACTCTAACTAGATGTGTGGTTCTGATGCACCTGTGACGTGGACCTACCTTCTTGCTTTGCTTTGGAAGATGAGCAGTATGTGGCAACATTGGTAATTCTATCTGAAGTAATTTTTTTTTTTTTTTGGTGTTTTTGAGACAAGGTCTCACTGTAGCCCCAGCTGGCCTGGAACTCCCTATGTAGATGAACTCATAGAGATCCACCAGCCTTTGCCTCCAGAGTGCTGGGATTAAAGGCGAGCACCACCACGCCCGGCACCTGAAGTAAATTTTGCCATGTGCTTCTATCTTTAAAATTAAATTTTGCAAAACTCAATGTCATATATTCTGATAAAGCCACAAAAAACCCAAACGAATAATGCACATATAAATAAGGTACAGAAGTTTTTAATTTTTACCAAGACACTGAATTTTAACATTAATTTTTTATATTCTATATTTATTTAATTTTTATTTTATGTGTATGAGTATATTGCCTACATGTGTGTAAGTACACCTGTGTCATGCAAATACCAGAGGAGGTCAGAAGAAGGTGTTGGATTCCCCTGGAACTGGACTTATGAATGAATGTTAGCCCCTGTGTGGGTGCTGGTAATCAAACCCAGGTCCCCTGCAAGAGCAGCCAGTGCTCTTAACCACTGGGCCATCTCTCCAGCCCCAATATTAAATATATTTTTAATGTATAGTGACAATTATATCCATAGGAAAAGTCCCTAATAGGGGTTTGCTTGAAAATCTAGATATGGGCACCTGTAAAATTGCCCTGATGGGTTTGATTTTCACTTTCTTTAGGAAGTGTGTTACTAGGCTGAACCCATACAAAGGCTGGGTGGACTGATCCCCTGCAAGACACATTTGAAGGTTAAGTAACTAGAGTCTCGGCTAATCCCGTGTAAGCTGCTGTCGCTACTTGGCAGCTTACATTTCTGACACACCAGTTTCTACAAGCTTAGATTTGTTCTTCACCTTCTGTTCAAATAACCTCCGAGAGGAGCCATGCGGCTCTTGGCATGCGTGTGCCTTGTGCTTAGCTTTCTGGAAGAAGTGAGCTGCACCTGTCCCTCTCAGTGCACCTGTGGTTATCACGGCAGAAATGACGTCTCAGGATCGAGGTACGCGTCCCTTCCTGCTGCTTAGTGTTCTCAGTGTCCCACTCTGAAGGACCTAAACAAATGAGCCTCATTTTGAAAGCAAATTGTTTGATTATCAGAACTCAGAGAAGGGTTAAATTGCATAAGACTTAGTTTAGTTTTATGAACTGATTGCCCTCTGCCTTATTTTTATTTTGAACAATTTAACTCCTAGAAGCTTTATATAGTTATTTAAAAATCCAAAACCACTTTATTACAAAATAGTCATTACACTCATACTCACCAAATGTCTCTCTAGAGGTCAAATCACGCCCAGTATTTGTGCGCAGTGCCAGCTTTCTGCAAAGCACAAGATCGCGAGGCTAAAGGGGGCTGCTGGCTTTTCCATGCTGTTTGCTAGCAGTTTCCCATTTCATCTGAGGATTATTCATGCCAGCCACTGCATCGTAGGAGGGAGAAGAGTGACGTTTGAGAGGTTAATAGATTTTGTTTTCATTTTATATAAGACTTCACAGAAGTTATGTAATCTCTTCATTGCTTTTAATCTGAGTAGTAAGATTAAGAATTCATTTATAATGGGTATGTCTCCTTTTACAGGCAGGTAAATGCAAAAAAGAGCTCTCATTCACCAAACATGGTGGGCCCAGAATGTTTTTAGAGTACTTAAAAAATTTTGTGGTTTTTGTTAGTTGACAACCTGTGAGTTTCTTCAACAGAGCTTAGCAAAAACATAGCACAACTTTAATCAACTAGTAATTAGGGCTGGGCTGTAGCTCAATGATACAGCATTTGCCTGGCATGTCTAAGGACCTGAGTTTGATCTCCAGCATAGCATTAATAATAGTAATAATAGTAAACATTAATAATAAACATTAAAAATAATAATGTAGTTAAAATTTATTTGTGAATAGTTTTATTTAAATAGTTCTTGGTACCTCTGAGATATTCCATGAGAGGATGAATACAATGAAAAGAACACAAGTTAGTGCCCTAGCTTCTCAAAGAAGTGCAGCAGTTAGTGAGACCAGGATGCTTTTGAGAAAACTGTCAGAAACATTTCCTTCTCCATGGTGGCTCCATTCTGATGGATTTTACAAACTCATGGAATATTATGCCTGATAGGAACTCTGCAACTATTTTAGTTCAACTTCTGCCTTGTTGTGAGGAAATAAAATTGTGCAGAGACAAATGGCTTGTCCTAGGTCTCAGAGCTGAGCGATGCAGCTGATCTGATCATGCGTTAGGTCTTCAGCTCGCCACCTGGGCTCCTTCTGTGCCAGCACATTCAATTGCACAGGGAAACTGCTGTCTCTCTGGTGAAGCGATGCTGAGGTGTGTGATACAGAGGTGAGGGCTAAGGATATCCCCTGAGTCCTTCACTGTTTCCCTGGTATCTCCTAAATTCTCTGTTCACATCATGGGCTAGCTTTTCAAATTCCCTGACTTACTGTTACGGGTTGAAATTGCTATGCATCCTAATTTGAATGACATTTTTTTTTTTCAAAACCACGTACTCACTTTCAGCAATTCAGATGTGCATGAAGGAAAAAATAGGCTGTTTTCCAGATTGAAACAAATCTAAGCTTTGAGATTTAAACTTACATTTAAACGCATGTTTGGCCAGGCTACCCTATTTTACCTATGCCAACAAACAAGTTCACAATGTGACTCGCTCAAGGGCACTTCAGTGACTGCCAGAAGGAATAAATTTGGTTTCTGGTCTATTCTTTAGGTAGCAAGCAATGCAGTTTGTTAAAGTGATGTCCAACCTTACACATCTGCTATAAACATTTGCTCTTTTTGTTTCTTCAATAAAATGGTCCTCTGGGAAGAAAAAACATCCACTTATGATTTATCTTTTTTTTTTTTTTGAGACACGGTCTTATGAGCCCAGGCTGGCCTGAGATTCTCTTGTGTCTGACCTTGAATGCCTGATCCTCCTGCCCTTTTCCTCTGAATGTTGGAATTACAGGTGGCACCACACTCAGTCTGTGCTGTGTTGGGGAGCTTACCCAGGGCTGTGTGCACACTAGGCAAACACTACCAACCAAGCTACATCCCAAGTCCCAATTTATGATTTTCATGGGATTCTTTAACACAGATCATTTCCTAAAGAGATTCATTTGGAGTTGGGCAGAAACCAGATGACCTTGAAAAGTCAAAACTGAAAAGTTAAAATTGGCATGCCCAAACTATTTTAGATGTTAAACAGGTTATTAGTAATAGCAGCAAACATGACCGAGAACACATTATGTGCCACGAAGGTGTAGAATTTATATCTGTTCAAGTTATTCATCATAATAATGCCATGTGGGACATTGTGACTGTGAGTTTTGTGAATCATCTTTCCCTGGCCACAGAGGAGGCGCAGAGCTTAGCTCTGAGCAAGGTCTAGAGCTGGTGTTCTAACTGTTATCCGGTATCTATCTCCTAGGGCAGCTGTGATGATAATAAAGAAATAGATGTGACCTGTGTTGCATAGGCTTAGAATGAAAATACCCCCATTGATATCAGTTGAACAACATGAAGTTGCTATTTGATCAATTTTTACTATGAAAATAGCCACTTGGCATGGTTTAGTATAATAATTGCTAAGTTATGATAATGGTGAAGGAGATGATGATGAATTATTAGTAAACAGGTTAGTCAGCCTGAAGAAATGTTTTGTGAAAACCAGTAGGGATTGAAAAATTGATACATACTTCAAATAAAACTTTGTTTTTAAATGGTCTTGGGAAGTGGATCTTGCATTCCTCTTGTGACATTAGGTCGGTGCTGTGTAATGACCTGGACATGAACGAGGTCCCTGTGAACTTCCCCGTGGACACCACAAGGCTTTCCATAGAGAAGACTGTCATCCGCAGGATCCCGCCTGAGGCCTTCTACTACCTGGTGGAGCTGCAGTACCTCTGGCTGACTTACAACTCTGTGGCCAGCATAGACCTCAGCAGCTTTTATAACCTGAGGCTGCTACACGAGCTGCGCTTGGATGGGAATTCTCTGACCATCTTCCCTTGGGTGTCCCTGCTGGATATGCCACGTCTGAGGACCCTGGATTTGCACAATAACCGAATAGCCAGTGTGCCAAATGAGGCTGTCAGATATCTGAAGAACCTCACCTACTTGGATTTATCAAGTAATAGACTAGTCACACTGCCGTCAGATTTCCTGGACAGCTGGTCCCACTTAGCTATGACACCTTTTAAAAGCTCGGACCTTTCACCAAGAAGAATCATTCTTGGTAAGCTCACAAGCTTCTGGGCTTCTCGTGTATAGCATGTTGAGCACACCTTTAGTTGTGTGTGTATGTGACACCGGCAATCAAACCAAGGACTGTGCGTGTGCTTAAGCATATGCTATGTGTGCACCACTGATCTACATCTCTCAGCCTGAGCCTTTACTAGAATAGTGCCTTGTCATTTAATCTGCATCTACTTCCCTGTTTTTCTTGCTGTGTGTATGACTGAGTATGTGTGTGTGTGTGTGTGTGTGTGTGTGTGTGTGCCTGTGAGCAGGTGGAGGGGTGGGGAGAACACGTCTCACAGCTAGTGCCATTGCTGTCAAGAATCTAGCACCTTCCCCGCTCTGTGAGCTAGCCGGTCTCCACACTGCTGCTCTCGGCCCATTCCGTCCCTTTCCACCCTTTCAGCAGGTTCTCAGGGTGACTCTGGTGTCTCCGAGATGGCTGTGCTTTCATTAGTGAGGAAGACTAGCTTCCATATTTTTGGGGGACTTATCAAGGTATTAATATTTTCTAAAACATGAATTTTTGATTTTCATAGTTCTCTGTTGTATATCTGCTTTTTAGTTATTTAAAAATATTTTTATTGATTTGTTGAGAATTTCCTATAGTGTATGTTGATGATCTTCAGATCCCCTTCCCCATCTCTACCTCTATCCTAATTTCCCTCTCCCTTTTGACTTCACATCTTTTATTATTAATTTTCTTTTTTAAAGGCCTACAGAATCTAATTTGTGTTCCCCACATGCTCTTGGATGAGAGTCCATCCCTTGGAGTCTGGCTAACCTGCTCTTAAAGGATGCTGATTCTCCTTCTCCCAGGAGCTATCAGTTGTCAATAGATCTTCAGCTAGGCTTGGGCCTCTTGCCCACCTCCCCCATCCATGCTGTGTTTTTGTCAGGCTTGGGCTTGCACAGGTCTTGTGCATGCTGTCACATGTGCTATGGGTTCATATGTGCAACTTCTCTGTGGTGTCCAGACAACATGGTTTCCTTGTAGCACAGTGACCAGTCGTGGGTCTTTGAGTTTATCTCTATCTGCTGCAAAAGAAGCTTCTCTGGTGAGAGTTGAAAGGTGCACTAATCTGTGGGTGTAACAATAAGTCATTAAGAGTCAGTTTAGTACTATGTATTAAGCAGAATAATAGTAGTAGGTTCTGTTTTCCCCTATGGCCTGTGACCTGTCTAGCTACAGGTTCTTGGCCCTGTTAACAGTGCTGGGAACAGGATCCATCTAGTGAAGTGGGTGTCAAATCCAGTCAGAAGGTAGTTGGATTAACTATTCATGCCATTATTGTACTGGTGGGCAGATCTTGCCGGCCAGTGATTATTGTGGCTCACAGGGTTCACAGCTGGGTAAAGCTGGTGATGACTCTTCTCTTCTGGTAGCATGCACAGCACCTTCTGGCACTGTGAACGCTAGCCAGTAGAGATGAGGCTTCAAGGTCAGCACCAGCCTGATTTCTCCTGTTTGTTCTACTCACGCACGTAGCTTCTTCGACATTTCCTTAATCAAAAAAAGCAATGATGGAGGAACCAGTTTCTTTTCTGGGATGGTGATGCCTGTTTGAGGGCCTGAGTCAGGCCCTTCTTGGCATATCTGTGAGCAGGGTGTCTTTCATAGTTTATAGGAGACAGACCAAAGATTCGATAAATCAGTTTGACTAGATCAATGCTGTTATACTTTTCACTTATGAATTCCTGGATTGTCAGTTCCAAATTTACATTCTTCTGGCTGTTGAAGTCAGTTTTTTTTTCCTCAGAAAATTGAAAAGAACATCTGTGTTTGGCCAGTGAAACATACCAGTTTCCAGGATGAAGAGGCAGTGTAGATGCTAAATTTGGGGCACGCACCATTGTTATTTTGACAGTGTCATGTCTCAACTATTTGCTGAACAAATTAAATGTCAATTAAAGTGAGTAAGTGTGGTGGCACACACCTTTAATCCCAGCACTTGGGAGGTAAAGGCAGGCCTCTCTGTGAGATCAAGGCCAGCCTGTGCTACATAGTGAGTTGCAGGCCACCTGTGGCTATAGGAAGACCCTGTCTCAAAAAAACAACAAAACCCCCACAAAATACAGGCAAAAACCAACAAAAAACCCTCAAGAGTTATGGGGCTGGGGAGTTGACTCAGCAGTTAAGAGTACTGGCTGCTCTTGCAGAGGACCTGGGTTTGAGTCCCAGCACCCACATGGCAGCTAACAACCATCCATAACTCCAGTTCTAGGGCATCCAATGCCTTCTTTGGGCCTCTGTGAGCTTTGCCTGACATTGAGGCACTTACAAAACAAGCAAAACACTTGCAAAAAAAATTTTTTTTGAGACAGGGTCTTACTGTGTATCACCTGGAACTCATTATGTAGACCAGACTGGCTCCAATATTTTTTGATTGGAGAATAGATGTATTATTGGATGGGTTAGAGAAATAAACCTTAGTTAAGGTTAGTAGATAATCTGTAGAGTCCCTATTACATACATGGATAGACACCACATGAGCCTGTGTTGTAGTATTTCTGGACTTTAGCCACAATTTGATTCTTATGAGAGAGGTTAATTGCTACAAATTGTCTTAAAGATGAAATTTTATTTCACTACTTTTCTAAAGTTTCTTTGAAAGCAATTTTTGATTCTAATAGAATTATCTAATATGTTATGTAGTAGAATGTAAAATTCAGTTTCTTTTGGGAGGGGTGAGTAAAGGGTTTATTCAGCTTACAACTCCCAGGTCAGAATCGGTCACTGAAGGAAGTCAGGGCAGGAACTCAGAGCAGGAACCTGGAAGCAGGAGCTGCAGCAGAGACCTTGGAGGAGCTGCTTACTGGCTTGCTCCAAAATTCACTTTCTAAATTGCTATTAGTAGTCTCTGAGGATTAGTTACTAATATAACTATGAAGAAGCAATGAATGCTAATACTTTTGACTTCAGTAGTAAATCTGGGTAAGGACTCAGGAATCAAGCAGGAATGGTTTTGAAATGTCAGTGTGTGTGGTGCTTAATCTTCATTTTTAACTTGATTTTGAATCACTATGGAAACAAGACTCTTTGAGTGTGTCTCTGAGGGTGTTTCCAAAAAAGTTTACCTGAGGAGGAGAGACCCGCCCTGAATGTGAGTTGGCACTGTTGTGTGGGCTGGATCCCAGGCTGGATGACAATGAGAAAGCTGGACCCCAGCATTGCACACAGTCATCTCCCTCTGCTTCCTGACTGTGGATGCAATGTGATCAGCTGCCCTGTACTTCTTCTGCCATGATTTCCTCCCCATGATAACTCTACCTTCAACTGAGAGGCAAGATAGACCTTTCCTTCTTTAAGTTGCTTTGCTCAAGTGTTTTGCTATAGCAATGAAAAAAGTAGCTAATATGGAAAATTGACACTGAATTGGCATTGTTGCTATAATAAACTTGATCATGTGTTTCATAGGCCTTAAGAACTGGTTTGCATGGCTGTCCAAGGCTGTTGGAGCACAGAGTCCTAACCCTGGATCCTGGAGCTGTGGCACACACACATTCCTACCCACCCTCAAAATAAATAAAATGCTTACAAATCAATCAACCAACCAACCAATCAGTCAGTCAGTCAGTCAGTCAGTCAGTCAGTCAGTCAGTCAATCACTCAATCATCATAGCATTTCACTCCTGACCCTTTAACATTTATTTTCATCTTAGAATGTAAAAATGCATTTAGTTCATCTATAAAAGTACCTATAGTCTTTAACTGTTTCAACACTGTTTAAAAGACTTGACACAAGGCAATTTCTTAAATGTATGACTCTATTTTGAAAATAAAATAAAAAGCAAGCTATATATTTCTAATATCTACTGGTGTAGGATAAACAAATTTATCGCAATGGAGGGATGAAGGCACAGCAAAGATCAGGTCAAAGGAAGACCAAAACCGAACAGGACAGACACGGAAGTGTAACTGTGGAGTGTAACTCCACCTCCAGCATCCCTGTCTGTGTTTGTTGTTGTTGCAATTGGAAGTTCAAATATGTAAATTCTTCTGGTCTTGTGTAAAGCTGGTGGTAAGGGTTACTTTACATTACATTGTAGGTGAAGACATGAGGCACAGTTAAGCCACTTGTCAAATTCACTCACCACACTGTGGGGAGTTGGCGAGGAGTACAGCTCCTGTGGGTCCAGGACTCAAGCCTTTCCATGTTCCTTTGTGATACAAGGTATAGGATAATATCTATACCTATACATCCATCACTGACTAACCACCTTAAAGTATATCTCTAATTAAAAGAAAAAAAACTCAGGGATACATTTTTCAATTGATCTTTCTCATCTGTGTGAGTTAAACTATCAACCTAGAAATATTTAATGTACCCATAAACTAGAGTCATGAACATTTAAACAAACATTTACATTAACCATGAAACTCCAGTTTTGAATTGTTATACAGGTAAATTTCCATGATCTTGTTTTCAAAAAGCAAATATTTGTACAGACGTATCTGTCAGGACAGCCACTGTTTATCTTAGATGAAAAAATCCTGTAGTCAGAGGGAGAGTAAAATGCTTTATTGGGTATGTTTTTCTTTGGAACCCAAATCTGCCCACTTGTAAACATGGGCTCTTTTATTTGTAATGTAATTTACCTGAAGGGAAGTCACCGCTTGAGTGTTCCCACAGAATTCCAAAGAAAACAAACATTCGTTCCACAAAACACTTACCAATATCTGGGCTTATACACTGCCTTCTTCCTAGAAGCTCAAGAAACAAATCCACACAGCTAAGACTTGCACCTTTCTACATGCTCTCCTGAGGAGCACAGAGGTACACACACACAGACACACACACACACACACTTAATCCTCACAACAGCCTCAGGAGGTAGGTCTGTAACTATCATCATCCGCTTTGTACTGCTGGTAAGGAGGCAGAATCAAATTTCAAATTCATAGTTCTTCTCAAGAGACATCACTATTTTTTAAAGCTTTTCTTTCCTTTCAATTGAGGGACTGAGCTAAACTTTATATATTGTGAAATGCAAGAT